GGGGGGGGGAGTGGCGATGGGGATGGGTAAGGATGGTGATGGGGAGGTATGGGGGAGTGATTGGGATCACCCCCATGTGAGGGATAGGCGGAGTGTGGATGAGCATGTGGGCGGGGTGAGGGAGGGTGTTGGGTGGCTTTTGCGGCAGTAGCAGTGGACAGCCCTCTTGCTTGCAGACCATGTCCTCAGGTATGTTGAAAGGGAGGCAAGGGGCAAGGGGCAAGGGGGGAGGAGGGGAGAGGGGGACATGCGTACGCTCGTTGGTCCACTGTTCGTTGACCTCGACCTCGTAAGGCGGCTCGTAGCCCAGGTTTGACATGGGTGGGTGCCAGGGGTAGAGTGGTGGGGGTGGGGCTGGTGGTGGCGGGCGGGTGCGACGGGCAACCGGTTTCGGGTGAAGGCATTCATGGCCAGGATAGGGCAGGACGGGGGGCGTACAGGCACCTGCTGAGTCACAACTACACACTCGGCTCCACCTCTTCAACCAGTCTCGGGCAAAGACATCGAGGCGAGTATAGAACAGGGGGGTAGCCATGGCCACACTTCCCGACGAGGTCTTTGTCGACTGCTCCACCCTTGTCCGCAATGCTGACGGGACGGTGGTGACGGGCAACCCGACACAGGACGACTTTGCCGACGTGCTGGCAAAGGTATGTGCTCAAGGTGAGGAAAGAAGGAAAGAAGGAAAGGGGGGTACAGGTAGCTGGAGACTCATCTGATGATGGTGGGGCGCCGGTGGGGCGGCGGCAGGTGGCGGCCAACGACCCAGAGACCACCTCGGTCAACCTCAACAACCTCGACGATGCCGAGCCGCTGCAGATGATCGACCTGGCCGAGGCGCTGATGGAGAACACGGTGGTGACAGAGGTCTGGCTCTGCAACTGCAACATGGACACCCTTGGCGGGCAGATGTTCGGGCAGGTGCTCAAGCGAAACGCCACGCTCACCGAGCTCAACCTCGAGACCAACCGCATCGGGCCCAAGGGCATGGTTGCCCTCGCCAAGGCGCTCAAAGAGAATACAGGCCTCAGCATCCTCCGCCTCGAGAACCAGAACACGCCCATGGGCAACAAGGCCGAGCGCTTGTTTGTCAAGGCCCTCAAGGCAAACAAGTCGCTTGTCAAGCTCGCGGCAGACTTCCACGAGCAGTCATCCAAGAATGCTGTCGTCTCGGCGCTCACCCGCAACATCGACCGCGCCCGCAAGGCCCGCCGCAAGGCCGCATAACCGCGTTGCGCCAGTAACACCACCACACTTCCTCATTCATTGTCTACGCCAGCGCAAGCATTCGCGCCAGCTCGGCATCGGCAGCAGCATCCGCATCGGCATCCGCGTCAGCATCAGCTGCAGTCGCGGCCGCAGGAAGCGGCGTCGACGGCACGGCCGGCATGTCCGGCAATTGCGGCGAGTCCATCGACTGTGGCTGAACTTGCACCTGCGACTGTGCCGCGGCGTCGGGCTCCACCTCGCCCAAAATGAGCGCCTCGAGCTCGGCGGCCAGCTCGTCGTCCGAGACCTCGACACCGGCGGCGGCGACGCTGGCATTCGAGTCGGCAATAGCCGCATCGATCTCGGCCTGGTTGGCAAGCGCATCCTCGAGCTCACCGAGCGTCTCGTGAACGTCGTCTACGTCCGGCGAGAGCGCGGCCAGCGCCCGAGTCCCGACCTTGTAAGCCTCCATCAGTTCGGCCGACGTCCTGGCGTCGTCCATCGAGTCAAGAATGGCCGAGACCTTGTCCCACGCCGCCAGCCGCGACGTTGCCAGCTTCTCCGCCACCTTTTTGCGGCGGAGCATGATCTTGGCCCGCTCGCGCGCCCCGGTGCCCAGCATCGCCTTGATCTCGCCGGTGAGCGCCTCGACGCGCGCCGAGAGTGTGTCGTACTGCGCCCGCAACGCACCCGCCATCGCCCGGAGCTGCAACGTGCCGGCGTCGGCCTCAGTGGCCTCGACGCGGCTCGAAGCCTCGCGCGACGGCGCAAACTTGATGCAAGCCGTGCCACTCGGCAGTGCAAACCGCACAAAGGCGCTTTGACCCTCGCCACTCTGCGCCACACAACCGAGCGCTAGGCTCAGCTGCCGTGCGTCCATGCCCAGCACCGCCGCGGCGTCTTCTACGCGCGTCAGCTCGTCCACAAGTCCGGCGTCGTAGTGTGCATCGAGCAGGGCGTCGACCGCTTTGCGCGCCAACGCCACTACCACGTACTCATCGTCCGACGAGAGCAGCGACGAGGCCGCGCCAACCGCCGCCGCGCCCGGCCGCGGCGACGAGACCCCGGCCGCCCACTTGATCGGCGACGCCACAAAAGTGTCGACCAGCCACGAGAGCGTCGAGCCCGCCGCGGTGGACCCGCCCAGTCTGCGCGGCGGCGAGCCGACGCCGCCACCACCACCCACCGCCCGCGGCGGCGCAACCTCGGCAGCCTTCAGCCACGCCCCAGTCCGCACCAGAGAGTCAAAGACAATGCCTAGGCCCGCTGGCGGCACCCCGTCCCGCTCGACAGCAACAGCCAGTTCGCATGGGCGGAGCGCAACCAGGCGGGCGGTGGCAGCCGAGCCTTCGATGACTCTCGTCCAGAACGCCATCTTGGCGTCCCACGAGACCGGCTTGACCTCCCGCGAGGCCGGGAACGAGGCGTAATAAAAGTCCATCTCATCGTCATCATCTGCCCACTCTGGAAGCGACCGCAGGTATGACCCGTCCATTCCTTCCTCCCCCACCCGCAGCAACGCGTGAGGTGTGCCCTGCTTTCCCCTCTCCGCCCCTCCCCTCCCGCCAAGTCGCATTGTTGGGAACAACCGCCGGCAGCTCATGAACCGCCAGCCATGCGCTTCATTGGACATGGCAACACACACATCTCATCGTCCTATGGGCGCACAACTCTCGCGCACAACATGGGTCGGCGCTGCCTTTGAACACCGCATGCAGGCAGGCGTCGGTGTCTCGCTCGTTGCCCTCTTTGCTGCCATCCCGCTCGGGCTGCAGCTGGCCAAGTCGAACAAGAGGTCCATCGCCGGGTCGGCCGTTCCGCAGGCCACCATCAACGCCCGTGTCGCGGCAGCGGTAACCGAGCGGCGGCAGGTCCGTGGACAACCGGCGGCTGATGCAAGCCAGCAGGGGTAGAGACTCGGAAGCGGCGGTGGGTGTGGGATGTCAGCTCTTCATTGGTTGAGCTGGACCCGGAGCGCGGCGGCCGAGTCGAGCTCGTCGTCCTCGCCATCGTAGTCAAAGTCAAAGTCTTCGGGCATGTGGCGGTTCGGCGGGAGGTCAAGCGAGTTGATGATGTCAGCGATGCCGTGGGCGGCGATCGAGTAGTGGTACATGGTGTACCGCGGATCGCCGGTCACCTCGCGCGCGTCCTCGATCCACTCGGGCACCGGGACGCTCGACTCGGGCTCGGCGTCCGAGACGTAGGTCTGGAGGAAGATGACCGAGCGGATGGCCTTGGGCGAGCGGAAGCAGTCAACATGGAACATGCGGTCTTTCCACATAAAGTAGCGCCGGGTCTGGTGGATCGGGACCCGCGACGGGTCGCGCCGCGCGAGCATGCTCACGTACTGACGCCCAGTGAGCGTGTACCGTGTCTCGACGTTGTTCTCCTTGATGATGTGCGTGTACGTGTACGAGCCGTACTGCCCGCGCTTGCGGATGGCCTGCACCTCGGGCCCGTCCGACACCAGGTAGTGCTGGTGGACCTGAAAGTCCTCAAACGGAATACCACGCTGGTAAAAGATCGACTCGGGCGGCGAGAACGAGAGCAGGAACTTGCGCTTGTGGTACTTGGACTCGATCTTGCCGGCCACACGCTTCGCCACCACGTCCACCACACGCTTGAGCTTGCGCTCAAACTGCTTCGACGAGTTCTCCACAACCACCAGGTACGGGTGCCCGAGCCACGCCATACGGATCTTGCGGTCAAGCTCGCGCGCAACCTCGGGCGGCTCCTGCCGCGGCGTGCCCGGCCCGTACTCGTAGTGCTCCTCTGCCCCGATCGCCGCAGTCACCAGATGAACCACCACTGTGTACCGGTCGCGGATCGCCACATTCGACCAGTTGTTCTCGTCCATCATCGCCTGCCACAGCGAGGCAGACATGTACGCCCGCGCGTCCATCGCCCCACGGTCGCAAAAGATGATCGACTTTTGCCCAGACGCCACAGCCAGCGAGTAGTATCCGTCCTCCAGCGCAATGATCATCTTCAGCAGCGTGTCCTGGAACTGGTACACCGCGAGGTCAGAGTTGAGGTCGGAGACCTTGACTCCGCCAGACCACAGCAGCGTCGCAACCTCGGGCACGGAGTACACACGAAAGCCGAGCGCCGTAAAGTGCTCCGTCAGCCGCTTCAGCGAAGACGTCTTGCCGCCGCCCGGCCCGCCCGTCAGCACAACCCGATGCACCGGTGGCGCCTTGGTCGGCACGTTCGCAAGCTCCTCAAGCGCAGCCTGCGGCTCCAGCACATGCAGCCGTCCCGTTGTCGGCGAGTCCAGCACCCGTGGCGTCTTGGGTCGGACCTCGTTCACAATGATCTGCTCCATCTCCGGCGGTGTTGCAACCTCGCCTCCCTCCCCCGCTCCCAGCAACACCTCGCCCACACGCGGCGCCTCGTCCTTCTCCTCGCCATCATCCCTAAACCGCACCCGTCCGCGGCGACGCACCCCCACCGTAGTCGCATACGCCACAGCGCCCAGCACCGCCACAGCCGAACCCATCCCCACACCGGCCGCAAACATCACCTTCTCCCGCACAACAGCCCCACCGTGTCCGTAAATTCCTCAGCCGGTCACTATACCCGCATGCTTGTGTGTAATCCCCGCCACACGCCCCTTCCCCGCCGTGCCCCTACCGGCCCAGCCGGCAACCAGCCCATCGCCGGCCCATCTCCCCATCCAGAGTCCTCCCCCCTCCCCCCCTCCCCCCGCCCCCCACACACACGCCGCCGCGCCTGACCCGTGGAAGGAAGCAACTCCCCTCACACCGCCACATACCCACGGCTTGGTTCCGAGCGACGACATGGTCTGGTGCTATTTCAAACGCGAGTCCAGTGCCGACGTGTACAATCGCTATCCTGCCAGCCCCTTTGTTCAGCTCCTCTCTCAACCATAGTGAGGCGGCTAGAAGTGACGCTGCCATGACGCCATCGGCCAGGTCTTTGGCCCTAACGAGATCGCCACGCCACCATACTACCACCACCCAACCCGATCACCATCGCTTCCACCCAGATCGGTCCTCATCACCATGTTTATTACGCCACCATCGGCCAGCATTCGGGGGAAAAGGGGGGACATCTCGCTCATCGCCGTAGCCCATGCAATACCGAGCACATCCACATCCACACACACACACACACACACAAACACACACACACACACACACACAACACACACACACACACACACACACACACACACACACACACAACACACACACACACACACACACGCACGCACGCACGCACAGATCAACCAGATCATTCAAATCAAATCAAATCAAATCATCCAGACCATTTCAAATTCATCCGGCCACCTGCCGAGAACCGCCTCCGGTGCCGCCGTGTGGCGCCAACTCGCCCTCGCCCTCCCCCCTCCTCCCTTCCCCCCCCCCCACCCCACCCACCACCACCACCACCCCTCCACACCCACCCCTCCACACCCACCCATGCCACCCATACTCGTACTCGTGCTTGCTACTCTCGCTATCTTCTGCGCATTGGCCTCTCCGGCCTCACCTGCGCTCGCTCACCGCTCTGCCGCCGACCGCGCCTGCGAGTTCCGCCTCGCTCCGCAGACCGGAGGCGTCCTCGCCTCGGCCGTAGGTGCCGTTCCCGCCTCGGCATCGGTTCCGCCGCCGCTATCGAGCTCAGCCTCTCCGGCCGAGCCTGCCGGCATGATTATCGCCCCGCCGCCATGTGCTGCATCGTCGTCGTGTCCTGGCGCACCGTTCCTCGCAGACGATGCCGTCTCGGCCGGCGCCCTCTTTGCTCCGGCCTCGGGCTGGTCCGTTGAACTGTGGCTCCGCCCAGCTTCCACCGACGGCTCCACCGACGCGGTCTTTGTCGACGCATGCGCGCCAATCCCCGATGGTGCCGTCGACAACTCGTGCGCCGTCCGATCCCAAGCCCATCGCGCCCTCGAGCTCCGCCAGATCGGCTCGGCCGTCTCGTTCTCGGTCGTTGACCGCGCCTCGACTCTCAACTCGCAGACCTGCATCACATGCACCTCGCCGCCTGGTGCTCTCGTCGCTGGTTCTCTCACTCACGTACTCGCCTCGGTCCCGCACCCGGCCTCGGCTCTAGGTGCTGCCCTCGAGCTTTACATCAACGGGTCGGCCGTCGACTGTTCGGCAGCTACCCTCGTCGGCGGCAACTACGACATCGCCTGGGCTACCTACCGTGACAACCGTGCCTTTGCTCTCGGCGCCCGTCGCGACGGCCTCTACTTTTGGTCGGGTACCCTCTACCTGCTCGCCATCTACACCCGGCCGCTCACAGCGAGTCAGCGCGCCGCGAACATCGCCGCCGGCCCATACAACGTCCTGCCCGTCCCACTCGACGTTTCAGTCTCGGTTGTGGAAGAGTCGGCCATCGCCATTGAGCTCGCCGTGTGGGACATGTACGAGCCGAGCGCAGGTGCCCACACCGGACGTGTTCTCTCACTCCCTGCCTACGGCACGCTGTACAACACCAGCGACCCAAGTGCGGCGAGCTTGGCCCTCGCCACCGCCCTCACGCCCAGCATGCTGCCTGTGCGCCTTTCCGCCCTCACCGTCGTCTACCTCCCGTACGTCGATGTCGGCGGCGAACTCGACAGCTTTACTTTTGCCGTCGCCGACGCTGATGCGCTCTCGCCGGGCTTTGCCACTGCCCATATAGTTGTTGTCAACGTCAACGACCCGCCTGCTGGACGGTTCAACGCCTCACTCGCGCCTGCCGCTACCCGCACCGTCGCTATCGGCTCTACGCTGCCGCTCGGCGCCGACGGCATTTCCGACGTTGACGCGCCCACTCTCCGCGCTGAGCTCTGGTCATCGTCGGGCCTACTTACGCTCTCACCCGCAAGCCGATCTTTGCCGTTGACCTTTGTGGCCGGCGATGGTGTCGCTGACTCGGCCATGGTCATCGAAGCTGCCCCCGCGCTCATTGCCGACGCCCTCGCCTCGTTTGACTACTCGCCGTACCTCTCGCCAGCATCCGGCGACACCGTCGACGTTCTCCACCTCGCGCTGGATGATGCTGCCGGTGGCCGCACCACCGACAGCCTCAGCATCATCCTGCGCGCGCCGGCGTACCGCGCCGCAGTGCTGCAGGCGTCAGCGCCCGACACGCTCACCCGCGGCGCCGACTCGGGCCCACTCACACTCGCCCTCGAGCGCACGCTCATTTGCGGTGAGACGCTCACACTCACGCCGCATGTGGTCTCGGGAGCCGCGCTGGTCTTTCATGGCGCGCCGTACGTGCTATCGGCAAGCACGCCGCTCGCCTCTCAGCTATTCTTTAGCGTCTCGGCGCCGGCTGATGCGGCGCTCGGCCAGGTCACCATCGCCTTTACCGCTTCGGGGGCCAGTGCATCGCTCTACGACATCACGCCCTCTGCCCCGCGCACCTTTCTCACCACCATCGTCGATTCCAAGTCAGTAACTGGGCTCGTCGGCGCCGCTCTTCCGGCCTTTGTCCAGACCGGCACGGTCCTCCCAATCGCTCTCGCTCTTTCCGCGCTACCATCGCCCGGCGCCACGCTTCAGCTCCAGCTCGCGATGCACCCGACCTCGGCCGGAAGCTTTGACTTTGCTCCGGCGCTGCTCGAGTTTAACTCGTCGTCACCGACGACATCGTCCGTTTTTGTCGCGACAGCATCTGCACTCGGCCCTGTCGTGCTTCAGGTCACGCTCGCCGGCTCGGCCCGCCTCGAGTACATTGATGCCGTCTCGGGCCTTGCTATCACTCTACCCACCGTTGTGGCAGCCTGCCCGTCGCCAAGTGACGTGCTCGATTGCGAAGGGCGGTGCGACGCGAGCGGCCGCGGGTGTGTGGCCTCGCCGCCACCATCGCCGCCGCCGCCGAGCACCGCCAATCCGCCGCCGCCGCCGCCAGAGCCGGCCGCGCTGGCGGCTGCCTCGTCGTCGTCAGGCGATGCCCTCTCGCTCGACTCGCTGGGAGGCATTCTTCTTCTCTCACTGCTCGGCCTCTGCGCACTCCTTCTCTGCCTTCTCGTCGTCTTGCTCGTCTGGTTTATCCGCCGCGAGCGCGGCAAAGCTGGCGGCGGGGCGACGAGCGCAGCACCGGGTCGGCCACTGGCCAGTGAGCGGGTAGTGACCACTACTACCCACGAGGTTGTCGAGATGATCGGCTCGTCGTCGTCAGCGTCAGCGACAACCGCCACCGCCGACTCGACCGCCACCGCCGACACAGCCGCGTCGACGTCAGCGCTCGCGTCGAGCGACGCCACCTCACGCCTCGACTCGGACTCTCACTCCAGCACCGACTCGGGGACGCTGTTGGTCCTTGGTGGCGACAAACGGTGGACTCGCCAGTTTGAGCGAAAGTGGCGCCACACGGTCGAGGCGCCGCGGGCCGACACCCCAGCGCGCGAGCATGCCGAGCTCGACGACGTCGGGCTCGATGTCGCCGCCGCTGGTACCCTTGACTCGGGCTCGGACGATGACGATGACGGCGACGGATATGACGATGATGATGAGGTGTCAGGTGGGGCGCTCTCCGGCCTCCCACTCCCGTCGGCCGACATGATCAAGGTCCACGAGCACAAGGCCGAGCAGCAGCGCGCGATCGCGGGCCGGCACAAAGAGCATGCGTCGGTCCACGACCGGCTGGCACGCAAGCATGCACGGGCTGCCAAGGAGCTGCAGGCGCGGTCGGCCAAGGACGCGTGACACTGCCAACTACTGCGCTCGGTCCGGCACACGCTCCGGCACTGGCTGGCGTACGTTGGGCGCAAGCCGGTCTGCGTGCTCCAGCACCGAGATCGAGACTGCCATTGGCGCCGACGCCTGGCCGCCACTGAGAACAGCATCGAGCGGAATGGCATCCGACGGCGACTGTGGAGGCACCGCGTGTCCAGAGAGCGTGGTCGCGGTTGCTGCCGCGGGCTCGGCCTCGTCGTGATCGACAACGAGCCACGAGTCGGAGAGCGCAGGCATGGCGGCGGCGGCGGCCCGCTCGTCTGCGAGGCGCTTCTGTCGCTTGACGATGAGCAGTGCCAGGCGGTTGAAGCGATCTGGGTCGCTGCGGAGCTCGTCGAGAAAGGCAGCGGCAAAGGCGTCGGCAATGGCGCGCCGGTTGGCCAGCGATGCTGCAAGCTGTGCCTCGACACTGGCCTTGGCCTGCGCCACCACGCGCTGCGACCACGTGAGGCTGCGATATGCCGCGACCGCCGCAGTCGAGCCGAGTGCCACTGGTCCGGTCACCAGCCCGCCGAGGTAAAGGCCGAGCGCCGCCACAGACGTCACGCTCACCGCCGCCACGTCGGCCTTGGAAGAGCACGACGCCACAATGAGGCCTGGCAGCACGCCGGTCATGACCGTTACCGCCGCCGCAAGGCTGCCACGAACAAACTTGGACTCGGCGACCAGTTCGGCCACATCTTCTAGCACCCATCGGGAGCCCGGCGCTAGCCGCGGCACAGCCGGCGACGCCGCGCCCACCACAGCGTCCGACGTCGCCTCATCCATCTCTCCCGCTCGCTCCACAACCACGACATCGTCATCGCCATCACCATCAGCCGATTGCCTCGCGCGTCGTCCACCGGTCACGCCCTCGCCATCGACCGCCACCCACTCGGTGCCCTCGAGCGTAGCAAGGACGACAGCTTCGAGTCGAGCAAGAGCCACGTTCCTCAGATGGGTCTCCACCTCGGCCTGCTGTGCCGAGCTCGATGCTGTTGAGAGCCACACAGGCTGCTTCTCGGTAGGCACCGTGTATGTCCGCAACACGTTGCGGTAGGGAAACTCTGTCCGTCGGAAGGAGGAGGTTGGTGCATGGTGAGAGCAAGGGAAGCATGGGTGGGGCCGGCCGGTTGTGGGCAGGTGTTCCATGCCCGACGGAGACGGCATGGGAAGGGGGGGGGGGGGGGGGGGGGGGGGATGAACAGAGGGATAGAGCAGGAGGCACGAGTATCCGTACCTGCAATGAGCATGTGTACAATGTCGCTGAGGCGGGTCCGGAGAAGGTCCGAGCCCTCAGAGGCTGCAGCCATGGTGGTGGCTATCGGTGACGAGTGTGCCGTCGCTTCAAAGTCGAGTGACAGATGGATGTCAGTCGGGAGTTGGGTGATTCGGGCCACAGTGCCTGGCAGTCGGCGGCGCTGTGGTGGTGTCATGTGTACGGATGATGCGGCGCAGATGCGAGGACCCGCCATGGCGGTGGTTGTGGGCGGTGGCGGGTAGGTGGTACCGGTGGCAAGAGCGAGATCGGCGGCTGGCCAGGGAGCCGGCGCGACGGCGGAGGCCGCGGCGGGACAATGACTGCTGCTCGTCCCGAGTACACTGGTGTGGCCGTCGAGCGCTCCGGTAGGGTAGGCGTGGGAATGCGTGGTGGTGTCGGGAGGATCCAGTTGTACGAGCCGCACCGGTGCCGCTGCGCGAGGTGCGCAGCGAGCTGTGCATCCGGCGGCGGTGGCGCCCTCGACGCGAGCTGCTGTGCCAGCGAGTTGCGCTCGCTATACCGCGGATCTGTCACGTGCGGCTGGGGGGCAAACGAGCGTCGCGCAAGCCGCTCCAGCACGGCCTCGCCAGTTCCGTCACCGAGCACATACGTTCGCGAGCCGTCGGAGACCAGATCGGCGCCAGCGCCCGCATCAGCGCGGGAGTCAGCGCACCCATCAGCCGACGCTGAAGGCGCCAGTCCTGATGCTGAAAGCGCAGCAGGCAGCGGCACTGCATCCGAGAGCCGCGGGCCGGTTGCACGAGAGGTGCGCTTGGGTCGCATCGCCGCTCCGGGCGAGGCCAGCCACGACAGCGGAGACGCCGGCCTCGGCTGGTCACGCAACGGCGACATTTCCAGCTCCTCGGCACGCTCGCGGAAGAGCGGCGAGAGCGGAAGAAGCGGGGCGTGGGGTGGGCTTGGCGTCGCCTCTTCTCCGGCATACCAGTGGCGGATCTCGGACGGAAGCATCGGCGGTGAGCGCGGCGGCGGCGAGCGCCACGGTGGCGGCGGAGTCAGCAGCCTCCGTGGCGGCGAGACTGGAACCTTTGGCGGCGACAACGTCGTCGGTCTGGCCAGGGGCATGGGAAGGGGGGGGGGGGGGGGGGGGGGTGAGTGGGCTAGGCGGGGCGAGGGAGGCGGTGGGAACGGAGGGAGGGGACGGCACGTCGCGTACGTCCATGTCCAGGCCATGGCGCGCGCGGAGTCGACTGGGTGCGGCGAGGCGGGGACAGAGGCGAGGCGGTGAGGGTGAAAGTGAACTGCTGGAGGGTATGAAAGGCTGAGTGGTAAAGAGCGAGAAGCGAGAGGTGGTTGGTCTCGGCTTTGACGTCCAGCTACGTGGGACGTGATGGTCGGTGGGCGCCTGTACGAATTCCACAGAGTGTGGCGGTGAGCCAACCGCCGGGGGGAGAGAGACCAACCCATCCACGCTCGCCACAAACACCAACACGAAACGCAGAAATATTTTGGTCCACATGCGGCTATTTTCTCAACCCAATCCGGTTCATGCCCCTCACGGAACAAACGGTGGTTTTACCTTGCCAATCTCGCCAATTACCGCCAATTACTTCACCGGTCACGGGCGGGTGGGGAAATGCGGCTCATTGTTGGTTTTGACCGACACTCAAAGCGAAGACCAAAAACGCGTTATCACCACCGTGGCGGCGGAGGGCGTGTGCCACATTGCGTGCCTGAGCTCGAGTCACGTCTCTCCTTGCCAAGCACATACTCCAAGTGCGCCCCTTGGTCGACACTGGCTACATACGCGCACACCTACTTCACTTGCTCACTCGTGTTGGACTCGCCTGCGCACCGAGTGCCATCCCCTCTGCCTTGACCTGAGTACGTTCGCACCCGTCCGAGTCAACGCCCTGCAAACGTTGGCCGCCGACCTGATAGGCTCACATTAACCCGATGAAGGGTGGGGACAAACGTGAGGATGGTCCACTTGCGGTCCAATGTCCACACCTGCCTTGTCTCCCTTGCCCACCATACTCATCTCACTTGAAGTCCCCGCCGCTGCCCACCAGACACAAACTCGCTGCTGGCGCCTGCCCTGACTCGCACCCCCGTCCATGACCGACGACACACGGCCGTCTCCCTCGGCGCGCTCGCGCTCGCACCCGCGCTCGCCATCCGGCTCGCGCACCCCGGACGCCCACCCTAGCCCTGCTGCGGCCAGCGAAGATTTGCACGAGCAGGCACTCCTTGCTGCCTCGCATGAAGATCTCGTCCGCGTCATCCGCGTCATGCACGCCCGCGAGCACCACGCGCTTGCCCTCGCCGCATCTGCTCGCGCTGCTAAAGCTGCGGCCGCGTCGCAGATCATGTACGTGCCCATCCCGGTCGCAGTTGCAGTCCCGGTCTCTACGCACAACTGCATCAGCCCACCGTCGCATCACGCCCGTGCCGCATCGGTCGGTCTCTCCGCCTCGCCCAAGGCCACTTCGTCGCACTCGTCGTCGACGCGCGCCGTCTCGGTCGAGCCCAAGATGTTCCCTGTTCCCGCTCAGGCCTGCGTCTCCCCCAAGGCCCGCGCACGATCAAGCTCAAGCTCGAGCTCCGGGTACGAGGCTTGGAAGCCGGCCTCGCTCCGCGGCAAGACCAAGGCTCAGCTCGACGAGTTTGAACGCTCGCAGTACAAAAAGTACCGCAAGAAGCGGCTCTCGCCTGCCGAGTACGCCGTCCGCAAGGCCAAGTACTGGCGCCACAAGCACAAAGTCACCACCGAAGCCATCGATCTTGCCAGGCCCTCGTTCAACCCCCGCCGCCGCCGCCGCAGGATGCGCCGCAAGACCGTAGCCTCCACTTCAGCCGTCCACTTGACTACCGAGTCGACAACGTCGTCGTCAGATTCGCTCTCGTCGCGTGCCTCGCTGCCCGAAGCCACCCAAAGCATGCTCGACGAACTAGCCTCGTCTGGCCAGGCCTCGATCGATGGCCCGTCGCGGCTCTCGTCATCAGTCGGCACTGTGCTTGACAGCCTCGACGACAACGCCCCGCTCCTGCTCAACGTGAACCAAGTCAAGCAGCTGACCAAGAGTGAGCTCGTCACTTTCATCCACCTCGCCGCCCGCCAAGTGGCGCAAGCGCGCTCGCGAATCGCCTCCATGTACGTCGACGACAACGGTGCGCCGCAGGCCTGGGTCCCGGTCAACCTGCGCGGCAAGCGCCTCCGCGATATGACCCGCGAGGAGCAGCTCGAGTTTGCGCGCGCCCGCGAGACCGGCATGGACACGCGCGACTTTGCCCTGCTCAAGCGCCTCTACCTCTTCTCCCGCAGCATCATCAGGCTCGCTGGCGTTGCCGAGCAGCAGCTGAAGAACTACCTTGCTCTCGAGGCGCAGACGTTGTCGTCAACATTGGCCTCGGAGGCCTCGGAAGTCTCGTCGGCCTCGTCGGAAGCCTCGTCCGCATCGTCGCGCTGGACTTCCGACTCGGACCTGCGCGCCGCCGCCTACCTCGTCGAGCACGACGAGGCCTCGTCAGAGCTGTCGGCCGGTTCCCACTCGTCGGTCACCTTTTCCGCCACCACAGCCTCACTCAACCTCTCGTCGACCGCCATGCTCTCCTCACTCTCGCTCAACTCGGTCTCGTTGCCCCACGTCGCAGCACTCGCCCATCAGCTCTCTGTCTGCGATGACGAGTCGCTCGGCGCGTCCATCAGCCTCGCCGAGAACGACGCTTTCTCCACCGACTCGGACAGTGACTCGCCGGCCTCCATGGCTGGTCTCACCCACGCGTTTTCCCGCCTCAACACTGTCTACGAAGAGAGCGACGATCGCGGCGTCGAAGACGACTCGTTGGCCGCCTTGTTCACCATTGTCGAAGAGGAGACCAGCGATGGCGGCGCCAGCAGCGAGAGCACCAACGAGCTGAATAGTCCCGGCCATGCCGACCGCCCTGACGGCTCCACCAGTCAACGCAGCAACCATCACGCTTGCTCCTCGTCCTCATCCGCCTCGTCGTACTCGTCTTCGTCCGCCGTCGTCTACTCGTCTACTTCCGACTCGCACCGCGCCGCCTCATCTGCTGCTGGCGGCTCACTGTAAAGCAATCACACCGCCTCTACCTCTCGTTGTGTCCAGCATGGTGGGTGTGGGAAATGAGTATGTTGAGCAGAGCATCCACGCCGATGACAGCAAAGACAAAAACGGCAAAGAAAACAAGAAAAACACGCCACATTCTTCCATTTTCCTCCTGCATGCACACCCGCCACACCACACCAGCCACAGCCACAGCCACAACCACAGCCACGGCCACAGCAGCCACAGCTGAATCCACTCCACCCCACGCCTCGCTAACACATGCATCCCCTCCTTCCCGTCCTCCTGGCCCTGCTGGCCATCGCCACTGCCGCACACGCCCGCGTACGCCCCGCCTCCCCTCCCCTTCCTCTCCCCCCCCCGTTTCGTGATATGTAC